ATAAAATATAATATAATATAATATATGTTAATATAATATAATATATGTTAATATAATATAATGTTAATATAATATAATGTTAATCTAATACAATATAATACAGTATATTAACCTGGGTCTGGCCTTGCTCTCATCCACAGCTGCCTTCACTGGGAAGCTGGGCCGCCAGAAAGGTGCGCTTGCTCGGGCTATCTGCCTCCAGGGCTTCTAGGGTTTAGGGCTTTAGGGCTTACGGCTTTGGGGATTCGGGCTTTACGGTTCAGGGTCTTGGATTTCTGGTTCCAGGGTTTAGGGGCTACTAGGTATCGGCTCAGGGTCGCAGGCTTAGGGCCTACGCCCACGCGAAACACAGAGCACAGAATCCTGTGTGGAGCATCCTGAACCCTAAACCTTAACGCTAAACCCTAAACCCCTGAATTACAAACCAATGGATCGCCTGAAAGCTTCGAAGTCGATACCTTCTTCTGGAGGCCAGGTGCTCAGCTCCTCACGACACCCGGCGACGTTTTGGGGTTTTGGGCTTCAAGGTTTGGGCCTTCGGGCCTTAGGGTGTACGGTTTCGGGGTTTAGGGTTGGCTACGATACCCAACGTCAAACGCCTTCTCGATGTCCGCAAGTGATCGCCCCAGCTTCAACAACGCGTCTTCTGCTTCTTGCCTTGCAGGAATCTTGGTGCAGAAACATGCTCCTGCTGGATGGGAGGCGGGTCAGCCACAGGAGTCGAGAACAAGCAGAGGACAGTCAGGAAAGGAGAGGGAGCAGGAGGCAGCAACAGCAGGAGGCAGAGTCGGGAGCAGCGGCGGCACAGTCAGGAACAGAACAAAGGTTGATTCCGGAACAGACAAGGCTAAGTGTAATGAGTAAAACCATTGAATGCATCTTTAAGATTCTGCAAGGCTGAATAATCTTATCAAAGGTTGCGGCTTGAGAGATTTATGTATTTATGTAAGCCTATCGCGTGTTGTTTAGGGAGACGGGATGAAAGTTAAGAATTTGGATACGGTGTTTTCCACAAGCCACCGGCATGATTAAGCCGGAATCCTGGAATCCTGAGAACCGAGCCGGCACAACTTCCCGCTCTTGTCCGTGTCAAGCTCGCAGAACTTTTCCCGAAGCTCTTCATCGCTCAGCTGGCCCCACCTCACTGCGGACGCGGACACAGTTCGCCGAAAACCTGTCGAAAGAAAAGTCGAAGTCCTCAACCCTACTCCCCTCCAGCGCAAAAAACCCTTAACCCCCAGAACTTTATATCCCAAAACTGTATTATATCGTATTATGTTATCTTATATTATGCTCTATTATATTACATAAAATATTATATTATATTATACTATATTATCTTAGATTGTCCTTCATTCCGAAAGCTCTATAGGCCCGCCTGGAGAACGACGGCATCCATCGAGGCTTCTTGGGCCTCTCTGCAAGGTGGAGCTGATTTTTGTTGATAAAGATTCTTATTAGGAGGTCGGGGGTTTTATGCGTGTGGCTTTGGCTTTTTGCTTTTTTTGGGCACTTTTTTTCCGTCCCGCTAGGTACTGACATCAGGAATCTGCTTTCGCAGAAGGCTGCAAGCTAGGCGTTCAGCTTTTGTGGCTTCGGGGTTTAGGGTTTCGGGTTTTGGGGTTTGGGGCTTAGGAATTAAGGAAAAAACCTTATAAATTATTGTGGGATCTCTCATATGCCTTATAAATTATAGTAGGATCCCTAATGTGAGTTAAGGAATATGCCTGATAAATTATATATAGTAGGATCCCCAAAAAAAGAGTGAAGGGATCTGAACCCCGAGAAGGGAGCCTCTTGGCGCCAGTCTCGGCTTCTTCACAGACCCCGTCGTTGCCTGGTCTTGGACCCTGGAAGCTTTGTGGGCAGTTTCGGGTTGAGGATTTAGGGTTTAGGGTTGAGGGTTCAGGCCTTAGGGCACGTAGAAAACAGAACGACAAAAACGGGTAGTGAGAACCATTTCGATGGCAAGAAGAAGAAAAAGAACGATTGCATGCATGAGAATGGCTTGCGTTAAACTCGAGCTGGTGCTGGTCGAGTGGCGCGCGCCAGCGATGAGAGGTAAGGCATCAACGCCGTCCGGGGCCTGCAACGAACGTGTTCACAAAAAAAACAAAAAAGCACGAGAAATACTAAACCTTGCCACCCTGAGACCTGAAACCCTGCAACCCTTGAGTCATACATGCAAAGGCCCCATATGAGGCTAGTGCAGCATCCTCAGGCCGTTAGACGCTGGTGGTTCAAGATAGAGGGGTTTAGGGTTGGGAATGTTACAAGAGGCAAGAGAAGAGCGGAGATGGGCAAGCTCTGCTGCGAGGCCGCCTTGTTGCAAATTCCAGGAGCTGAGTAGACTGGGAAGTCCTTTTCGGGCGAAGTCCCAGGCAGGGACTAGGAAGCTCCCAAGGCTTTGAGTTGGGCGAAAACCGGTGGTTACTTCGGGCATTCCACGCCCGTCGCAGAATCCATTCCTCGAATCATGGGATCATACCTCCAGGCAAAGGTGGAGCTTCGCTGGAAGGGGCTTTCGAGGCCCATCAGCGAAGAAAACAGCGAAAGCCCCACGTTGTCCTTCGTGCGTTCCGGGTGCTTCGGCACCTGCTCTTGTGAGATCCTTCCCTTGTTCATGTCATCTAGGCCTAGAGACGCAAGGAGTGTATAATTGATCAGATTCTCCGGGTCGCAGCGATATGGTTTGGTGTAGAGGGTATTGCAAGCGAACTCCCAAATCCTCTGGAGGCGCTCCCGCCATTCTGCGACCGTTCCAAGCTCTTGTCGACCCAGTATGTGCGACTCTGCCGATCATTCGGATCGGCTCACGTCCCCCAGGCCATGATGTTGGCTCCACGGGTCTCACATGGGTAATTCATGCAGTACGCATAATGCACGGTATCACCCGCTCGCGAACACCACCACGTTCCACAGCATCGCCCGGTCGTCACCGGGCGATGCTGTGGAAGATAGTCGGCTTCATGTAATCCACTACGATATCCCAGCTCACAGTGAAGTTCGTTTCTTTCCAGATCCTGTCTAGGAGAGGACGGTTCTCGGAGCAAAATCTCTGACAAAGAAACTCCCCTTTCCACGATGATCCGCTCTAGCGAACGGCGAAGTGTATGCGCTTGGAAATGGACCACGCAAAGCACTGCATGACATCGAAATGCTTGTTCGGAGACGGTTCAAGGGCCTGTAAAGAGAAGCTTGGCTCCACGGCCTCACCTGCATCACCCAATAATCCTCCGTGCTGATACAGCCCAGCGCGAATCCCTTTTCCATGCTGGGCTCGGGGCAAGCTGAAATTGCACAGGCTCCCAACATAGGGTATCCAATCGCTGCACACATCCCCAGTGGCAGCAGTTTGATCCAGGAACATGTCGCCAGAGCAGAGGTACTTCAAGGTGGCCTTCTGGCACCCGGCAATGTGCGTCTCGCGCTCGGGGAGTTCACAGAATCTGCACTTTCCACCCCTGCCGTCTTGCCTCCTCCAGAGTGGAATGATTTCTCTGTTCGAAGCATTGCCTCCAGTGCAGCAAAAAGTGTGCAACAGGCCGTCTTCAGGAGAACCCATCCAAATAAGGTTTGCCTCAGGGATCAGAGCTGCTCCCGGCGGTCGACTTGCACCATCCAGCGGCCCGAGGCGGCGTCAAAACCCACGGCCGTCCCCGTGTGTTCAGTTCCGGCAACTCCATCAGCCCGCGAACTTCGACAGAACTGCCCACAGCGACGGTCATCTCAAGCGGCACCAGGTTCTCCGCCTTGACCTTGGCTTTCCAACCGTCACCGAGGACATCCCAACGACCCTCGGCAAGATCCGGCGATACCTCGCTCGCCGTTCAGCTTTTGACCCTTCTCACTCTGAAGTCCATGCACCGTAACGCCACCCCCCTCAACAATGGGATAACTGCATGGAGCATTCAAAGGCAAAGACTTGATCTTCATCTCCGACACGGCCTTATGGAAAACTAGAAGACATGTGGCCCGAAAGCATCATTTGCGAAGAGTTTAGCGCTATGTAAAGTCAGAGAGTGAAGTACAAAATGTCATAGAGTCAAGTGCACAGTTTGAGTACAGAGAATCTAGTGCATAGAGTCATATTGTCACAGAGTGAAGTGCATAGAGTCATCAAGTACAAAGTCCAGGTTTAG